GAGTTCATTGTGGAGGTCGACGCTTCTAACACGGGGGTAGGGGCAATACTGTCTCAACGTCATGGCACACCAGCGAAGATGTATCCGTGTGCCTTTTTCTCCCGCAAACTCACAGCCGCAGAACGGAATTACGACGTGGGCAACCATGAACTTCTTGCTATAAAGTTAGCGCTTGAGGAATGGCATCATTGGCTGCAGGGAGCATAAAAATCTTTAGTATCTGCGCTCAGCTAAGCGTCTAAACCCCCGACAGTCCAGGTGGGCATTGTTTTTCACAAGGTTTCGGTTCACGGTGACATACCGGCCAGGCACCAAGAATACCAAGGCTGACGCTCTCTCTCGCCAAACTGAGGAAACAATCCAATCCATCTCCAACGACAATATCATTCCCGACAAGCTGCTCTTGGCACCAGTACAATGGGATATCATGACTGAGATTGAACATCTGAATCTTCAAAATCCGCCACCTCCTGAATACAACAATCAGACTGGAGCAGGTACTTACTATGGGCCGAATATGCCCAAAACTCATTGAGGAAACCCTCCACCGGTATGACCCCTTTCCAGTGCATCCTGGGCTTTCAACCTCCACTGTTTCCCTGGTCTGGCGAACCCACCGAATTACCTTCAGTCACAGATTGGTTGCAACACAGCGAGGAGGTCTGGGACCGGGCACATACTCACCTACTTCATGCCGTAAGGCGTCAAGAACAACAAGCCAACCGACATCGACGTCCCAGTCCCGAGTACACCCCAGGCCAATGGGTTTGGCTTTCAACCAAAGATCTACGCCTCCGACTTCCATGTAAAAAGCTCAGTCCCAGGTATGTTGGTCCCTTCAAAATTTCTAGACAAATATCTCCAGTATCATTTCGTTTGGAACTGCCCTCTAATTACCGCATTTCTCCCACATTCCATGTATCACTTCTGAAACCCGCTGGTGGTCCGAGAGGAGAGACGGAGGAGGGGGCCAGACCACAGACCCCCCTGCCTTTCCTGGTTGATGGCGAGGAGGCGTATCGAGTGCACGAGTTGCTAGACTCCAGACTCCGGGGCGGTACCCTCCAGTATCTGGACGATTGGGAGGGGTTCGGTCCAGAGGAGTGATCTTGGGTCCCCTCATGCCTGGGACTGATTGCTCATCCACACCTGCACCTCATCTACACACACACATATAAGCCACTCACACACACAGACTCTCTGCAAAGTCTTGATTTGCCCTGGCTGTCATTTCTGAGCGTTATACCCGTATTTTCTTTCTTTGTACTTGATCTTAGATCGTTTCCTGTTTATCTGATTGTCATCTCTGAGCGTTAAAGCCGTGTTTGCTTTCTTTGTATTTGATCTTGGACCGTCCCCTGTGTTTTCTGATTGTTCTCTGCCTGCCCCGATCTTGGATTGTTTCACCTGGACTGTGTTTGCTAGCCACCTGCCCTGATCTCTCGCCTGGTATTCGACTCTGACTCTGTCTCTGTCCAAGCCCCTGCTGTTCTGTCTTGCCGGTATTTAACCCTGTATTCTCTGACTATTCTAAATAAAAGCTGCAAATGGATCCAAACGCTTCTGACTTGTCACAACACAAATACTATTATTTGACCTTAAAAACCTCACTTTAACCCTCACTTCAATGGTAGCTGGGGCGTAGAGTCTTGTATGCAGAGTATGCATGTGCATATGGACCCGGGCATATTGAGGGCCCGCCGAGCCGAGGGGGATTCTTTATTAAGTTAATTTAGAAATATGTTTGAAACATTTTATGTTTGTTAAATTCAAGTGTTTTTTTTGTTTTTTTTTAAGTAAGGACCAAGCGGCCAGCGGCGGACTGAGTTGAGCATATATGTTTGATCAATTTAGCCTTCTCAAATCAACATGACTTGCCTAAAATAAAATCTATAGACATAAAACACTTCTTGCAATTCACAATAATAATAAAAAAATTTAACCTAGATAAATGTGTGCTGTTAGATGCATATACAGTCGTTTGTGCGGAGAGTGGAAGCTGAAGCGCGCTTTGCAGGACATGGAGGCGCCAGCGCGATCACTTGCATTTTTTTCTTAAGAGTGGAAACTTAACATACGCTGTCATATTTGCTCATAAAGGTAAGAGTAATACATCATTTGGATTTGAAACTCTAATTGATCGATTTCATGAAACATTCGTTTGTATTAAATTGTTCTTATTTTTTCAACATGCATTCAAATATTCATTTATGTTTATTTCGTGCTGCAAATATTAAAGAGGAAAATATAATTGATTCACATGCTGCTTGAACTGAGACAAATATAGTTATCTCACCACAAATTTAGAAGTGTAAAAACACATTTATTGCTTGTAGTATTTTATTATAACGTTGACAGAAGGCTGACACTTTGTGTTTTAATGTAAGTAACAAAGCACAAAGCTTATTGCGATTATTGGGTGGCTTGCGTGCTACAAATGATGAATGGACTTGAAAACGTTAAATATCATTTCCAAGCATTTATACCGTAAATAAAACAGCTTGTGAATACACCTAAGGTTAATCACTTCAGAAAAAAATCAACAATAAGTTAATCAAGTTGGAGCCAATAACGTTTGGGGGGGGGGCCATACAAATTTTTTTGCATATGGGCCCTGGGCTGACTTGCTACGCCATTGCTAATAAAAACACTTTGACTGAATGATTTGTGATTCAAAACATTTTTTTCCTATTTTTACAGGAATAATCTGTAAATATTGAGTAACATTTTATGTAAATTGAATGAAATTGTAAGAAAAAGTGATGAGGTCGTTGAAGATCTCAAAGATGTTTACTGCAGCATAGCAGTGACAAAGTACATGTAGTACCTTGGGTTCAACGGAGTCGGAATGATCCCAGAATATCCTAAACTCAAACCTTTTATACAGTAACAGTTTAATGTAAATGAAGTTGCTCCTGTTGTAACAGCTATAGTCTGTATGTTAATTAAGTTCTGACACCCCTTTGTCTGAGGTGGTTCTCGGTGTCCCACCCCCTCTCCCATTCTACAAT